CCTTTCCTTGGGGACTTTGTACTATTGTCTATTGCTGATTAATAAAATTATTTCAATTATCAAAAAAAAAGTATGAAACACAAAACTACTAGTATGTAAGAACTAGGTTACAGAACTACTAATAAACTTTGTTTCTCTACACAGGCAACTAAAGGAAATCAGAATATTACTTGCATATATATCATGAAGGAAGTCAAAGAAGAAGATAGAACTGACTTGGTGGTGGCTTCATTGGCTTGTCTCTACATTTTAGGAAATCAAGATTCTTGCTTATAGCTTAAAACAACTTCTTGAAGCCTGGACCAACTAGTGAGCTTGAGACAAATGTTTTATACCATTTGGTAAATTATAATTCAACATGTTCAACTTAGACCGGATTGGATAGGTCCAATTCATTGTCTTATTGGACTGTTCAACCTGGACCGGATTGGACTGGTCCAATTCACTGTCTTATGGACTGTTCAACCTGGATCGGATTAGATTGGTCCAATCCACTGTCTTATTGGACTGTTCAATGATGTGGACGCGTATTGGGAGCAGCAGCAGCAATGATCCGGTGTTCTCATTCTATCCAATTCGGCAGCAACAGTCTTATCCATTTAACAGATTAGATTAGACTATCTTGTTATTCTTATCTTATCTTATTAAGTTAGTAGATTAGATTATACTTATTAGATTAGGATTAAGAGAGACTTATCTTATTAGATTAGGATTAAGAGAGACTTATCTTATCTTATCAGTCTTATCTTATCAAGATAGAGTTGGAGGTCTCCCTATTTAGCAAGGAGTCTCCCTAAGAGCAGGACTCTTGTAATCTCCTATTTAAGGAGCCACTATTATTGAATAAAGACATCCAAGAATTTCAGTCAAGAGAAGAGTTGAGGAGAGTTAGGGTGATCTCTTGGACAAATCACCCCTTAGGTCGCCACGATAGGGTCTACACGCAAAGGGAGGGGCAAGGGGAAGCTAGAGGTTCTCCCTGTGGACCGACCTGTGACGAGATCCTACGCCCGGGCCCATAACATTTTGGTATCAGAGCAAGGCGTCATGGGTGATCTGGAGCAGCTGCCGTCCAGGGTCCACGAACTCGAGCACTGGCTCATGGAGACCAGCTCGGAAGTATGGGAAATCAAGGACGAAGTCAGGGAGCTACGGCGTCTGATGGAGTTATTCCTTTCTAGCAAAGAGAGGAACATAGAAGGGGTGACAACCACTAGCGGCCGCCGACCAGATCTACCRGAGTCTTCCGGCGAACAGCAGTTCGGCAACCAGCTGGCCGCAGTCATCCCCAAGTACAGCAGGTTAGAATTCCCGTCGTACAACGGCAACGGAGATCCCTTGGGCTGGCTGTACCGGTGCGAGCAGTTTTTTCGAAATCAACGGACAGATTACCGGGATAAGGTAAGCCTAGCCGCCTTTCACTTAACAGAGGAAGCACAACTCTGGTTCTATCGATTAGAACAGGAAGAGCCTGGGCTCAGTTGGTCCCAGTTCAAGTCCTACTGCCTTCTTAGATTTGGGCCCCCATTGACAAGCAACCCCTTAGGCGAGCTGATTAACCTTAAACAAACCAGCACGGTGGCAGAGTACCAGCGCCAGTTCCAGATCCTCCTCGCGAGGGCATCTTCAGTGCGACCGGACCAGCAGGTAGACATGTTCACCGCTGGGTTAGCAGAACCCCTGCGGGTGGACGCGGAAATGCAGAATCCCTTCAACCTGGTTACAACCATGAATATAGCTCGCGCTTTCGAACGCAAACTACAACTCAGCTGCGGAACCTTTAGTATGAGGCGGCCTCCATCAGCATGGGCATCCTTGGAACCACTCAGAATGGCTCCATGTTCAGCAGCCAGCCAAGAACGGAAGCCACATGCGAGCAACAATTCCAGATCAGCATCCAGTGTGGGGAGCAGTGTCATTGCACCCCCTATTAAGCACTTGTCCAGGGCTGAGATGGCGGAACGCAGGGCGAGGGGACAATGTTTTAATTGCGATGAACTCTACTCAGCAGGGCACAAGTGCAAGAGACTTTTCTGCCTCCTGGTGAAACAAGAGGAAGATGAGGATGATCCCTCTTCATTGGAACCCGATCCAGGAGGGCAAAGTCATTCCACCTATCCGGGATTCCTT